GTGATGTGTGATATGTGATGTAGATCACACGTGATGTGTGATATGCGATGTAGATCACACGTGATGTGTGATATGTGATGTAGATCACACGTGATGTGTGATATGCGTTGTAGATCACACGTGATGTGAGATATGCGATGTAGATCACACGTGATATGAGATATGCGATATAGATCACACGTTATGTTTGATATGTGATGAAGATCACACATGATGTGTGATATGTGATGTAGATCACAGGTGATGTGAGATATGCGATGTAGATCACACGTGATGTGAGATATGCGATGTAGATCACACGTGATGTGTGATATGCGATGTAGATCACACGTTATGTTTGATATGTGATGTAGATCACACGTGATGTGTGATATGCGATGTAGATCACACGTGATGTAAGATATGCGATGTAGATCACACGTGATGTGAGATATGCGATGTAGATCACACATGATGTGTGGTATGCAATGTAGATCACACATGATGTGTGGTATGCGATGTAGATCACACGCAAGTTGAAGAAGACACGAAATGTGATATGGTCTCAAACCTACATTTCTCGAAATCTTAGTTAAAATTAACGAGTCTGTAAAAAACTGACCTTAAGCTAGAGATGCCGAAAAAGAGACTAGATGAATGAGGTGATTAGATATATTAATTAGAAATTTAATATTCCCCATTTTTGTTGAAATTGTCTATATAGTTGTTTCTTTTAGCAAGGTATTCTTCAATCTGCTTAATATGCGTCATATTGACTTGTAGGCTGTTCAGTGTTGGAGGATATTTTTTAAGAGATGCAGTTTACCTGACAGGTATTTTAATTACTTAATTAGGAAACCAAGATGACCTCCCATGTCCATAAAACAATATATATTTTCGGAAAACTTATTGTATGAATTTTTAAAATTTTGTTAGTATTTTTTTATGAACACTGTAGTTTGAAATATAGACAAAAATATCCTTTTTTAGTCAAAAGTGATTTAAAAAAATAGCTTCTAAACCATGCTTCTGTTTCCTGTGAAAATTGGTTATGGGTACATCTGTTTACGATGAAGAAAGTGCCGTCTTGAAAACTGTCTACCTGTTGTCAATTGTGCAGGGCAGCATCTCAAATTTCACTACTTCAAGTTTATGCATAAATTAACACCCTGACTAGTTGTCTGTACGATTGTTGTAACACTTTTCAATCAAAAACAATGCCCCGATGGCGTTTTGAAGATAAACACATTGTCAATCATTTGTGAAAATTTCAAAACAAAAGGTCAAAGCGTCTAGAAGCTATATTTTTTTTAAAGTTCTGGGATGTGCACTAAAAAGAAGCTGAGATAATTGCTAATTTGCATAACAATTTACTCAGTAAGAAGTTTGCTAATGCTCATAATTAAAATGGCTGTAACAGTTCCAAATTTAAATGTATTATTATTTTGTAAAAAGTTAAATATAGTGCATAATATGGAGATCCCGTCATTACTTTTTTCACATGTTTCTTTTTGATTATTTATGTACAGCCTAAATCTTGCTAAGCATTCAAAAGAAGAGAATGTTTGCACCTGTTATCTATATTTTAAAATCGTTTTTTTGTTCCACTATTCACAATTCTACAAAATGTTAACAGTCTATAGCCAAGACTGTTTGGATAATAAAAATCAAAAAAAAAAATTACTACCAAGTGCCAACAAACCTGCATCTCTACCTTTAATGCATTTTGATCGTTTATTCACAAATATACAAATAGTCTGGCACGCATTAGACATGTATGACACAGACAATACTGCGTGACATATCAATCGAATATAAACAAAGCAATATATAGCTATTTGTATTCGAGCCATCCTACAATTGCTTGGCATCAACTTGGCAGACACCATATCTTTGCATAACACTGGCACAATCTGCCACATTATCAGCACTTTCTAAACCACAGGTACAACCTGCCACACTATCAGCACTTTTTAAACCACAGGCACAACCTGCCACATTATCAGCAATTTCTAAACCACAGGCACAACCTGCCACACTATCAGCACTTTCTAAACCACAGGCACAACCTGCCACATTATCAGCAATTTCTAAACCACAGGCACAACCTGCCACACTATCAGCACTTTCTAAACCACAGGCACAACCTGCCACACTATCAGCACATTCTAAACCACAGGCACAACCTGTCACACTGTCAGCACTTTCTAACCACAGGTGCAACCGCCACACTATTAGCACTTTCTAAACCACAGGACAACCTGCCACACTATCAGCACTTTTTAAACCACAAGCACAACCTGCCACACTATCAGCACTTTCTAAACCACAGGCACAACCGCCACACTATCAGCACTTTCTAAACCACAGGCACAACCTGCCACACTATGAGCACTTTCTAAACCACAGGCACAACCTGCCGCACTATCAGAACTTTCTAAACCACAGGCACAACCTGCCACACTACCAGAACTTTCTAAACCACAGGCACAACCTGCCGCACTATCAGAACTTTCTAAACCACAGGCACAACCTGCCACACTATCAGCACTTTCTAAACCACAGGCACAACCTGCCGCACTATCAGAACTTTCTAAACCACAGGCACAACCTGCCACATTATCAGCAATTTCTAAACCACAGGCACAACCTGCCACACTATCAGAACTTTCTAAACCACATGCACAACCTGCCACACTATGAGCACTTTCTAAACCACAGGCACAATCTGCCACATTATCAGCAATTTCTAAACCACAGGCACAACTTGCCACACTATCAGCACTTTCTAAACCACAGGTACAACCTGCCACACTATCAGAACTTTCTAAACCACAGGCACAACCTGCTACACTATCAGAACTTTCTAAACCACAGGCACAACCTGCCACACTATCAGCACTTTCTAAACCACAGGTACAACCTGCCACACTATCAGCACTTTCTAAACCACAAGCACAACCTGCCGCACTATGAGCACTTTCTAAACCACAGGCACAACCTGCCACACTATCAGAACTTTCTAAACCACAGGTACAACCTGCCACACTATCAGCACTTTTAAACCACAAGCACAACCTGCCACACTATCAGAACTTTCTAAACCACAAGCACAACCTGCCACACTATCAGCACTTTTTAAACCACAAGCACAACCTGCCACACTATCAGCACTTTTTAAACCACAAGCACAACCTGCCACACTATCTGCACTTTTTAAACCACAAGCACAACCTGCCACACTGTCAGCACTTTCTAACCACAGGTGCAACCAGCCACACTATTAGCACTTTCTAACCACAGGTGCAACCAGCCACACTATCAGAACTTTCTAAACAACAGGTACAACCTGCCACACTATCAGCACTTTTTAAACCACAAGCACAACCTGCCACACTATCAGCACTTTTTAAACCACAAGCACAACCTGCCACACTATCAGCACTTTTTAAACCACAAGCACAACCTGCCACACTGTCAGCACTTTCTAACCACAGGTGCAACCAGCCACACTATTAGCACTTTCTAAACCACAGGTGCAACCAGCCACACTATTAGCACTTTCTAAACCACAAGCACAACCAGCCACACTATCAGCACTTTTTAAACCACATGCACAACCTGCCACACTATCAGCACTTTCTAAACCACAGGCACAACCTGCCACACTATCAGCACTTTCTAAACCACAGGCACAACCTGCCACACTATCAGCACTTTCTAAACCACAGGCACAACCTGCCACACTATCAGCACTTTCTAAACCACAGGCACAACCTGCCACACTATCAGAACTTTCTAAACCACATGCACAACCTGCCACACTATGAGCACTTTCTAAACCACAGGCACAACCTGTCACACTTTCTAAACCACAGGCAAAACCTGCCACACTATCAGCACTTTCTGAATCACAAGCACAACCTGCCACACTATCAGCACTTTCTAAACCACAAGCACAACCTGCCGCACTATGAGCACTTTCCAAACCACAGGCACAGCCTGCCACACTATCAGAACTTTCTAAACCACAGGTACAACCTGCCACACTATCAGCACTTTTAAAACCACAAGCACAACCTGCCACACTATCAGAACTTTCTAAACCACAAGCACAACCTGCCACACTATCAGCACTTTTTAAACCACAAGCACAACCTGCCACACTATCAGCACTTTTTAAACCACAAGCACAACCTGCCACACTATCAGCACTTTTTAAACCACAAGCACAACCTGCCACACTATCAGCACTTTTTAAACCACAAGCACAACCTGCCACACTGTCAGCACTTTCTAACCACAGGTGCAACCAGCCACACTATCAGAACTTTCTAAACCACAGGTACAACCTGCCACACTATCAGCACTTTTTAAACCACTAGCACAACCTGCCACACTATCAGCACTTTTTAAAACCACAGGTGCAACCAGCCACACTATTAGCACTTTCTAAACCACAGGTGCAACCAGCCACACTATTAGCACTTTCTAAACCACAAGCACAACCAGCCACACTATCAGCACTTTTTAAACCACATGCACAACCTGCCACACTGTCAGCACTTTCTAACCACAGGTGCAACCAGCCACACTATTAGCACTTTCTAAACCACAAGCACAACCTGACACACTATCAGCACTTTCTAAACCACAAGTACAACCTGCCACACTATCAAAATGGTTTAGTTTTGGTAATATGTCTTGTATTGTCGTACTATGTTTGCCAACTTTGTTAACCACGGACAGAGCTTAAACTTTACAAATACTAAAAATAAAACACAGCCCGAAGAAGCATATATGGACAAGACCCGTGCTACGTATATTTTCTTGTTTTAGCCGATGTCAGTTATTGTTCTTCTGTGAATAGGTGATCTTTTTATTATGTGCCTTCTAATATGTAGTTCCGTTTTAGATGGGGTAATACACCAGTAATAACTGACTCCATTTCATGCATTTCAATGCACCACAATGTTACAATCAGTTCAAAGGAAGTTGAGATATCTTGGTGTTGCATTACTATTCCTCTATGGCTTATCACTATATGGGACATTCCTACATGAGTAATGTTGAACTTGGTGGAAGATATTCTATTAATATACTGCACATTATAACAATTACCTTTTCCTTATTCTTTCTTGTTTCAGTGCCATGTTATCTATTCTGTATCTGTGAACTTTGATGTATCACTCACCTTTTTATTGTCGAAGTTTTCACGTGAGCATATTTGAAAGAATGTCACTCAATTAGTATAGTATTGAACAGGTTTGGATAAAATAGTTACTCATGAATGAGCTCCTGTTCCCACACCCAACATTTACAGGAGACAATCTTGGCCGGAAATGCATCACAGAATGTAAAATGGTATTTATTTAATGTGTC